TTTTACGACTTTCGTTGGTTCTTAATATCATTTTAGCCACTATTAAGAGCCAATTTTAGGGGCTCCAAAGTGCCACTTGTGGCTCTGCAGCCTCAGGTTACAGGCCGCTGCTCTAGAATGAGCAAATTTTCTTTCAAGGACCTTTTTTGAAAATAAATCTTAGTTATCGTTATTTCATACTGTTAATTCAGTTTTTATTAAAGCAAATACTCAATATCGTGACAACAATTAAATACTTTATCACAGACAAATGGTTGTGTTTTTGTCCACATCACCTTATATATAAAAATATCTCTTTGTAATGACTATTCAACAGTGTTATATATTTTTTTTGGTATTAACAAATGACAACATTGTTTATTCAAAATACAAGTTTTTTCTGTGTAAAAACCTCTGAAGTAGATAGGATTTGCTAAAAAATAAACAGACATGCATATTTATAGAGAAGCACACTCAATATTTTACCCATTAGATAGGAACCAGTCAACCAGGCTTAAGTATGAATGATGATATGCGAAAGCTATTATCAGACATAGAAAAGGTCAATAATACGCTCATGATGACAAAATAAGGTTCAAATAAACTAGACAATAGATTTGAAATGTATTTAATCTCTTGTGTTTTATGAGGCTGGAATGGCTAAATATGTGCGGCAAGCCAACAGCAAAAGACAGTATCATTAATCAGCATTAGAAAGGCTTTATTTTACTGGCTGGTTGTTCATTAGACCCCTTTTCATTCGTAAATACAGATTGATAAAGGTTTTCGGGACCCAGCATGACACAGGTGTTACTGACTGAAGGTGATTTATGAACCTTCAAGAGAACAGGTGCTCAAAAAATACGCAGAAAAAGCTTGTTTGCAGCTGCAACGATGTTCTAAATTTGCAATGCCTCTGAAATGGTTCACAAATCTTAATATCAACAAAAAATATAAACATAATATAAACAATATATATTATATTATAAAATGCAAACATAAATCATTTTTATGGCTATTTGAAAATAAGACCTATACTTTTATTTCTTGTGCCATAAACCCTGATAATAATTTAGCAATATGTTTATGTTCATATTAACCATGTGCATTTAGTGAGGAAGAACAAATTTGGTCTTTCATATCACTTGTCAAGTAACATATTATTAGCATTAACCTCTGTCAGGTTAGTCACAACGATTCCACTTCTGTTTCATATTTGCATACAGTGTATATTTTATTCACATGTTTTTCTGTGTTTGTTGTCAGAAGACAAATGAAATTCAAATATTCTAAAAAAGGTTTTAAGAGCTGAAAATGTTTCCAAAAATTAAAATTGACGTTTTTATTACCAACATTGCAACAGTGATTTTAGTTTGATCTTTATTTTGATTTGTTACTCTGCACTAACTACAAGCGTGTAGATGTTTTACTTCAGGGTTTTTATTGTTTTTATGACCATAAAACTTACTTGAACAGATTACATTGGTACTTTGCATGGATATATCTCGAATTATTTATATTCCATGTTGGATGGCAATGTTTTTTAATTGTGGAAAGTACTTAGAACTACATTGGTTGTATGAAAAGTGTTTTATAAATACAATTTGATTGATTGTCTGATCCTTTAGGTATCTCTGCCACCTAAATAGCTGGAGTGAACAAGTCAGATGTCTTATTCTCATTAAATGTAATGCGACCAAAAAAGAGTGCCTCTTCAATTTGAAAACTGCATTTTGTAAAATTGCGATTATATTGCAAATGCAACCAACTGCAGCCATAGTTTTAATCTCAGTGACATTCAATAAAAGCTGATTATATTTGTGGACATCAGCAGACATAACCTTTACTCACATAAAGTGAGGACTACTGCACCACTGATTCAGCCGTACTTTTTTGTATGTCAAAGAGAAAGATTGCATGTCCTCACATTTCTTCAAAAGTTGTGTCCAAGTATTTTGTTCCTCTGGGCCACTTAGGAAGACTTTAACATTAAAGGACTCTAAGAAAGCAGAGTTACTTATAAGCTTTAACTTTTATTTGGCTATAAAGCCAGTCTCCTTATCTGTGACCCATAGGTTTTTCTTTCCTGCTTACTTGAACCTCCTATTGCAATCCCACCAGCACATATTAAATCTTCATGTTTCCTTACAATCTGTAGACTTTCCCTTGTGGAGAGGACACCCTTATCGTCATCAACTTATTTTATGAAAGGAGAGGATGCAGGAGAGATTCTATATGTATGCAGCAAGATTTACCTTCAAGAAAGTTTTTACTGATCACCCTAAGCTGATAACATCAATTTATCTTAAAAATGATCTCATACTCCCATCCTGCAACATTAGAATAGATCCCTGGTTGATGCTTAGGAGTGTAACTCTTCACCCCTGGTAGCCCTGCAATGTGGGGCACAGTGTACCCTATTTTCTGTTTACAAAAGCTTTCTGTAAATCATATGGGGTACTGCCATCTAAGTGTGTCTGTGGCATGAGGACAAGGCAGATAGTCATTATAATTATTCTCTTGTGTACATGGATGTTTTCCAGCATTATAGCTAAGCTGCCACTTGTGCTACCAGACAGTATAATCCATGCAGCACTCATGACAAAGATACAGTATGCAAACACAACTTTAGTAAGTTAGCATGTCACCACAGCAATTAGCTCAAATTGTTACGGGTGCAGTAACATTTTAAAAGGTGTAACAGGGAGCTAACTGGAAAACTCTTAAAGGACCCTCTAATACCCAAGAACCAGACTTTTTGAATTTTTTTGGTTGTCGTTAAATTTGATCTGAGTAAAAAAAACAGACAATGAGTTATTTATCCACAGTCGATATATGACAGATTTTCTTTAAAAGAAGAGTGAAACCATCTTAAAATGTCTCAGTTATTATGCATAAAGCTATAAAATACAACAGCATTTTTCAATTATCTGCATCTATAGTCATTATATTGCATATACTGAGAAAACAAATTTCATGTCAAACACTCAGTGAAAAACTTCTAATGTTGGAGACAAAGCATCTCATTTTTCTGTAAACAAGCCGTGTATGCACATTGAATTGAATACAATAAATCAGATCCCAACAGAAAAGCAGCTGATGACACAACACCCTGGCAGTAGATAGCGTTTTGTTAAAGTTCATAACGTTTTGGTTCAGAATAGTGCTGTTGATGATTAAACTGTGGTCTTTTGGAAGCAACTCGAGTGCTGCCGGACAAATACAAAGATATGAGATTTTCAGTCAGGTTGACAAATGTGAAAATGTTGCTTGTGTCTGTTTATCATTTCAAGAGCTTTATTAGAAATCTTGCAACTTTTAAGACGTGGTTTCACTGAGGAAAGTTTTACCTGACCTGTGCAACAACACTGCTTAATAATGCCTAATAAAATAAATGATCACTCTGTTTCATATAGGTCATTCTGTATCCCTCGCTGAACTTTAAGAGATCTATAATTAATGATTTACACCTTTATATTTTCTGCAGTGACAGGTAAATGTTATCATCCAGAATTCAGAGCTGGACCTTCTCTAAGCTCTTTCAAGGTCTTACATGTCACTTTAAAATGTTAATTGATTGTTATAGTGCATATTTCCTACTCAGTCGATCACCACACTTACTTAAATAAAGAAAACAGAAATAAAAAATCTTATGCAACCTTAATGCTTAGTATGAACAGCGTTAAGGTTGTTAATTTTTTTTTTATTGTGTCTTAATTAAAACATCATCAACAAAAATAAGATGTTTTCAAATTATAAATCTATTATAATTGGATGGGTCAAAGTTGAAAAAAAAAATAACACATCATCTTAAAAAATAGAAATAGTAGAAAAACAAAGCTCTTGACATTTATAAGACAGTAAAAAACATTAAAAGACATTTTAAGACTCTGAGATGTCAGCAAACCAAAGTAGGAGCCAAAATCAACACTGCATTTGTGAACCCCATCCAAAAGAGGCCAGTTACAAACTAATCCAAGAAATTATCAACAATTCAACAAGGAGGCCAGAAAAACATAAAGGACCATAAAGGCTCATCGTACACTGGAAAAAATAGGTGATTTTTTCTTGGATTGAGGAGGTGAAAGAGACTTTTTTGCCAATGGAAGACAAGAGAATTTAACCTTAAAATAAGAAAACACAATTGCATTGTCTTTTTTCAAGTGCATATTATTTAATTATCTTCTCTTATTAATTCCATTGGCAAACTATCTCATATACTAACTCAAATTAAGGATAAATACACTTAATGTAAGACATTTTTTAACATATTTTTAGATCATTTTTTTCAGTGTACACAGACAAGACAAAAGTGGACCCTTTAGGAAGTTATGTCTATGTCACATCTGAACAGAAAACTAATCCTAGACACCCAATAGTAATAGTGCAATCACAAATAAGCAATCAGCAATTTAAACAATAAAGTTTCCCACTGGTAGCTACATGGTTTGCAACTTTGGGAGGTGATATGTGTAAAAGTAACATGTAAATGAATAGCAGTACCAAAAGTATTGCAGGGGATCGTAATATCTGAGTATTCCTCAGATAAGCAACACAAACACAATGCAAAAATAAAATATACCACCCCCTTCTAAACCAAAGTAACAAGTGACTTCCTTCTGGTTGATTCTTTACTTTCACTGGTCGAGCAATGTATTTCAACACAACAAATATACTATGCATAATGTATTGAAAAATACATTAGAACATTGGTTTTATATAAAAAATATAAAACTACCTGAAACTGGATATACAATGAAATGTGGTTGGTAAAAAACAACTGGCTTTAAATAACGTTTTTAGATTAAGTAATATTTATGCTTCGTAAATAAAAGATTGTTTCATTTTTTTCTTTACTAAAACATTGTGAAATTCAAATTGAAAAATCTCTTAGAAAAAAGTAAAAACATACCTTTAACTATACAAAAGAGCTTAGATATAATAAATAAGAGAAGCATGAAGTGGATCTCTGCTTGCATAAATAATAAAAGAAAAACAGGTATAAAACAGCATGTTCCTACCTGCATTGACAGTTTTTGCCAGTCGGCGAAGCCTCCTCTGATGCGTCTTGCCTTTATAATGGATCTGTGCCTGGGCGCTTGAGTTTAGCCTTATGTTGCACACCTGACACATGGTAGCGCTGCTGCCCTGCCGGCGCTCCCGCTTGGCCTTAAACCCCACCCTTACCCTTCTCACTCCTTCATTTTCTTCCTCTCCCTCCTTACTTTTGGTGGGCGGATTACTGTCCATCCACTCGATTTTCTTTGGACGTTTCATCTCATCTAGAGAGAAAAAAAAAAGAGCTTAAAATGTTGAAAACTGAAATAGACATCTTTGTACAAACTATCTAATAAACAATGTTTTTAAAAAAGTATTTACAGCCTTTGAACTTTTTCACAATAGCTTATTGGGGTATTTATATGAGAAAGAACACAAAGTTGTACATTAATGTCATGTGGGATGAAATCTTTAATCGAAAATATAATCTCGACAGATTTGGACAGCATTTTAGGTCTTTGTTCAGCAGCAGGATGCAAAAGTATAGCCTTTAACCAACGGGGTGAAGTTCTACATACTAGTTTCTGAAGGGAAAATAAGTTGATTATAATAGAGATCCATTATACTGTAATTTTATCAGATACTGTATACTAATATTTTACAACTCAATTGGGACTGGGTTTTTTTTGTTTGTTTTTCAAATACAAACATACAGACACTATGTAGTTATTGCAAATACCAGTTTGGCTATGTGTCTCAGATATTAAGACCAACAACACCCACATTTTAACTTCAGCATCAGTTGGTTGCATTTGACCTGCCAGCTCTGCAGGCAGAATTCTCACTTTTGTCACAAAAACAGAATTTATATTGGTGAGTTATATTGGTGGAACGGGCAATGTCTGATATTTATTATAAAGTTAATATCCGCCACTGAAATCACTAATATTTAGCAGCAACATGAAAAAAAAAAATCATAATAGTTGCATATGTTTTGTGTTAGAATCTGACAATAGATTGGAAAAATGACCTGCAGCAATACTCAGTGCTGCACTGAGTTCCTTGTGGCACACATGGACTCTCTATTTAGATACTATGCAGCATGGATTGATAAGCTTTCCATTTAACGTAGTTTAATTATCCTACATTTGAACTACCATCTCCTTGAACATGGAGCGCTGCACTGTTACATCATATGCACTGTGTATGCATACAGTATCTATCTCTGAGGATGCGTGATGCAAACAGAGTGACTTTCTTATTGGCTATCTGTTAGATAACCCTTTATTTCTTTTTCTGTGAAGGCGTTTAGCTGTACTGGAACTATTATTTCCAACATGGGATACCAAATATGTTTTGATTAACTGTTGATGCTTTAACTTGAACCATTTCACTGTAGCTCTATATGTTTCTTAATCTTTTTTTTCTTTTTTTCCTTTTTGCTTGTAACATCAGCTCTGAATAGCCATACACCATGATGCTGCCATCTCCACTTTTCTCAGTGGGGATACTTTGCTGTGAGTGATGTGGCGTTAATTTTCAGCTATAACTATTTGCATGCGGGGTAAAAAGCCATATGCTTGCAAATTTAAGTTTAACTTCTTGTGTTTTTTTTTTTTTTTCCAACACCAAGCTATGCCTTTCGAGATTTCCATAATGATCAGATTTGTTGGGTAAAATACCTTTTTTTCCCCCTATGGATACATGTTCCCACCTAATAAATAGATGTATGTAGTTCCTGTAGAGTTTCCAAAGGCCCATTGACTGCCTCTCTAGTAAGCTTCTCCTTTCCACTTTTAGATGCCTGACTGAGCAAATCTTAGTGAGATGTGATATCAGAATCTCTCACTAAGTTTGTTAACTGAGTGAGATAATTTATACAGTTTATGACCTAGTCTTGCTCTTAGCACTATCCATGACCAGTCTGCTGTATTCCTTGGTCTTCAAAGCAATAACCAATAACTTAGATCTGTTATTCGACACAGGTAGACTCTAACCAAATGCCTGATTTTAAAGGCAGTTTTTTTAGGGACATCAGAATAAAGCTTAATGGCAAATACAGATGCACCTCACTCGTTCTAGTTTTTGCTTGGTAAAGAAATTTGAAAACCACGTAACATCCATTTCACTCCACTATTATACACTACTTGCATACATGTTGGTCTATGACATAAAAACCCATTAAAATACACTGAGGTTTGCAGTTGTAAGGTAACAAAATGGGAAAAATGTTCAAGAAGGATGAAAAGGCCCTGTATGCAAGTTGTTAAAGTGACCACATGGGGGCAACAGAGGCGCAGTATTTCATTTTATCATGACAACAATTTTATGAGATTTTGCAGGCTTAAAATGGGCCACTTTGTTTTTTGTATCCTGCTTTCTTAATCAGACTGTCAGTTTATACAAAAATGTCAAGGTCAAGATGTATCTGTCAAACATCTTCGAGAGTTAGAGACAAGTACATTGTTCCAAACAAATGACAAGGGCCATTTTTGAAGGGGTTACATAGAGAGACATGTTTCCTTATGAAAGCATGCAGCCTCAATACCTGTAATGGCTGAGCAATTATTCCACGCTGGCAGCATAAATCAAGCTGCAGCTAAACACCCGCTGTGCTCTAAATGTAGAAATGTCATTTAAAGTCTGATTGAATTCTTTGTTTTGCTTCTGTTCATATGATAATGAAATCAATTAAGTACTCATGTTGTACATTTTATCCCCTGGCTTCTCTCTCCTCCCCCAATCCCTCCCTCCTGTCCAGCCAGAAACCACCAATGGTAAAATGTTAGCTGCTCCAAAAATTCTGCTTCTCGCCGAGATGAAAGCAGAATGTAAATCATGTGTTGGAGTTCATCAGCCCCCAACCAGGAACGCAGGCTTCAAAGCTGCAGCGCATCATCACAATTATCTGAATCAAAACCTCGCAGTCTGATAGGTGGGAACATGAGCAACTATGCTGGAGATGATGGCACAAAAAAAATAAATAAATTAAAAAAATTTACAAAGGTTGAAACAATATAACGCTTATCAAGCCGAGTGTACCATTTTTCAATGTGCAAAATGCATTAAAGTAGATTAAACATTTGCTGAAGCAGTGCATTGTGACTCAGAAAAAATAAAATCATAAAAAAAAAAACTACAACATACTAAACCTTTTGTTTTAGTTAAGCAGAATTTCAGAACATTCAATGATTTTACATCTTTTTGTTGAGGAACATTAACATAAAAGACTCAGCAGTCCATTACTCCTACATTTTTCTTAAAATGGGAAAGACAAATGGATATATTGGGGCTAAAGAACATGGCCTAAACTTAAATTGCAATACATTTCTTAATTTCAGTCGATTAAAATACTATTTTGACATTGATATAATCAGAATAAACGTCTCAAAAAGACAACGGAGAATGACCATAAAAAAATTTCAGTACCAGCCATTTTTTTTTTTTTTAAGTTTATAAAGCTCATCAAAAAAAGATATATTTTGAATAAAAAAACAAACACATAAGACAAATAATATTCTAATTCATAGATTCATATTGCATTATATATTGGTAATGCATTATTGTCCATCCATAGGATATAGTATTCCATCCTCATAAATGAATTATTGTGTACTGTTGATTGTCTGTTGTACATTTCCTTAGAGGGGCTTTAAATAAAAGCATTATTACTATTATTATTAAGAGTATGACCAATAAAAAAAGAAAAAAAAAGACTGGAACATGACCTCAGGTTTTCTTTGAGCAGGATAGTTAAGGAGGTAAATCTAATCTCTACAGCTCATTGTTAGACTGATAGCAAAGAGTTGCTTATTTATGTAACCAAATCATTCAGTATAACAACTATTAAACAATATGTAGATTACAGATTGTTTAAGAGAAAAAAAAAAACTCCACTGTCCTACCTGTACCACTTTATTTTGCAAATATTTCCTTGAAATATCTCGTTTATTACTACCAGTAACATTAAAAAATAAAACCAATGTAAAAGATATTTATTATAATAACAAACTGATGACTTCTGAATTTCTAAACAACTGGCATTTTGAGTACCAGGCAATATCAGCTATGTTTATTTAAATGCTTTATTGATTGCATACGGTCAAGTCTTTCTGATTGTCTGTATTTGTACAGAATACTAGCCCACGTAATTTGCACATCAGCACAGTTTCGCCGTTAAGTTTATATCACAATTTGACCATTTTAGTTTGCATTTTCCTCAAAGCAAATGTGGTTTTCTTTGCCACCGTGTCTCATTTCCTGTCCTCATCATGAAGTGTATGGATATAAACACTGTTTTCTAAAAACACCAATTTGGATTAGTGCTAATATGCATAATATCAATCTGTGTATTCTGATTAAGTTCATCAGACTGGCAGCCTGAACAAAGAACCTAAAGATAAAAGTCTAAACAGTTTATTTTTCAAGATGGCAGCATTTGTGTTTGGGGGTTCTGACTGAAAAAATAAAACAAATGCTTGTCAGACAATTTTAAATATTCTAAATGTTGCGTAATACATATGGGAAAAAATAATGATAGCATGATTACATTTTGGTAATTATAGGCAGCCACTTATAACCAAGTTTAAGTTTTTGATCAACCTTTTAATATAAAACAAAACCAAATATGAACAGCTCTTCTGCTCATTTAAGAAAAAAATAATAGAGTGAAACAACATTTGTTTAATTTTCTGTAAGTCACAGCTGCCAGTAAGCAACAGTTTTAAAATATTTCTGAACTCAAAATGAAGTCCTATCAAACAACCCAGCATATTAAAAGGTTGCAGTTTTTCTAAATTTTGTGCATATTGGGTTAGTCTGACAGCTACTGGATAAAAGCTGTGACATTTGTCGTTGCCTAAGGAGTCTGTAAATAGTTTGGGGGTCAGAGGCACCGTTTATTCCTGTCATCTACAATTAATAATAACCAAGTTTCAGATATATTATTCCTGGTATAGAAAAAACTCTTGTTATTATCTTTGAGACTGATTGCATTTAGGGCCGGCAGATAACAGACTACATGAGATAATCAGTGTTTTTAAAGACAAGTGCTAAAACAAGCTCCAGAAATAACACTTATTAAATCATTTACAGAGAATTATACTGCTATTATTCATAAAAAATACAAATAATAATTTAGATTGACTCATAAAATGAATTGAAAGTTTAATTATCTACCAGGAATTGTACACGTTACTTTCATTATGGCATAAGAAATAACTTGTATACTTCAAAATATCAAGCCTAGAAGTGTTTTATTTCCAACAGGCATTTTTGCTGATTT